CTCCTTCCGTGTCTGTCGTCGTCGTCTCGTCTACTATACCTACGCGACGTAACTAACTACTACCACTACTATCACACTACTCCTCTCTCTCTCTCTCTCTCTCTCTCTCTAGATATTTCTCTCTCTAGATCTTCTCTCCGGGTGTTGAGCTCTGTCGGGCTGAGTATTCAGTTCAGTGAGAGTAACGTACATCAATATTGGTAGAAACAGGGTCATAGAACTTCGTGAGTGTTGGGGGTTGGGTTTATTGTCAGGGGAACATAACACCTCAATTATTTGAAAAATCTCCTTCTTCGCAAAAAAAAAAACCCTCTCTCTCTCACTCTCTCTAAAATTGGAGCATTTTGCTCTCTCTCTAACTGACAGAAGGAGTGTTTTTTTGATTGGGAGTAGATGGGGGAGAACGGGGTGAGGAAGCAGTATTTGCAGGTGGAGAGCCAGACCAGAGTGTATGGGGACATGGCCATCGATATGCAGCATCAGGGGTCGAAGTGCTACGACGACGATGGGCGTCTCAAGAGGACCGGCACGGTCTGGACCGCGAGCGCCCACATAATCACCGCCGTGATCGGCTCCGGCGTTCTCTCTCTAGCCTTTGCCATTGGGCAGCTCGGCTGGGTCGCCGGCCCGACCGTGATGGTCCTCTTCTCCTTTGTGACCTACTACACCTCCACCTTGCTCTCCGACTGTTACAGGTCCGGAGACCCGCTCACAGGAAAACGAAACTACACTTACGTGGATGCTGTCAGAGCCAACATGAGTAAGCTCCCCTCCCTCTTTCTCTCTCTAACTCTGGATTATCCCCTCTCTCTCTCTCTCTTTATGTAACTGAGCTGTTTTTTACCTTCTCTGGTTTGATTTCAGGTGAGTTTAATGTCCGATTGTGTGGATGGCTTCAGTACGCCGGACTCGTTGGAGTGGCAATTGGCTACACCATTGCTTCGTCTATAAGTATGATGTAAGAGCTATATCTCTCTCTCTATGAACTGGTTTCTCCAATCTGTTTCTCTCTCTAAACACAATGGGTTGGGTTTAACAGGGCGATAAAGAGGTCGAACTGTTTCCATGAAACTCGAGGCAAGAATCCATGCCACGTATCGAGCAACCCTTACATGATAATGTTTGGCATCACCGAAATCGTGCTCTCTCAGATCCCGGACTTCGATCAGATCTGGTGGCTCTCCTTTCTCGCTGCCGTCATGTCCTTCACCTACTCCTCCATCGGCCTCGGCATGGGCATAGGCAAAGTTGCAGGTAAAAAAACAAATATACAACCCTGTGTAGCAGGGAGTCGGCACTTTAATCATTATGTTGTAGTTTCCATTCCAACCGACACCATTTCTTTATACTCACTCACTCGCACTCTAACACCATTTCTTTATACTCACTCGCTCGCACTCTAATCACTATGTTGTGGCTTCCATTCCAACCGAGACCGTTTCTTTATACTGACTCCCCCTTCCCTTTGTCGCTTTTATTGCACAGTGAACGGGACAATCAAAGGGAGCATGACAGGGATCAGCATCGGCGCTATGACCCACGCAGGCCCGATCACGGCGATGCAGAAAGTGTGGCGCACCTTCCAAGCCATGGGCGACATAGCCTTCGCTTACTCTTACTCCATAGTCCTTATAGAGATTCAAGACAGCCTGAAATCTCCGCCGTCTGAGGCCAAGACCATGAGAAAGGCCACCATGATCAGCGTCACCGTGACCACCATATTCTACATGCTCTGTGGGTGCATGGGATACGCAGCCTTCGGTGACCAGGCCCCCGGCAATTTGCTCACCGGCTTCGGCTTCTACAACCCATACTGGCTCCTCGACATCGCGAACGCCGCCATCGTGGTCCACTTGGTGGGTGCTTACCAGGTCTATTGCCAGCCCCTGTTCGCCTTCGTCGAGAAATACGCCGTGCGGAAGTGGCCGAAGAGTTGGTTCATTAACCACGAGTTCGAGCTCAGGGTCCCATTCTACAGCAAATCCTTCAGCCTGAATCTCTTTAGGTTGGTGTGGAGGACGTCCTTTGTGTGCATGACCACTCTCATTGCCATGCTCTTCCCTTTCTTTAATGGCGTGGTGGGGATCCTTGGGGCTTTTGGGTTTTGGCCATTGACTGTGTATTTCCCTGTGGAGATGTATATTTCACATATGCACATACCCAAGTGGTCCACTAAGTGGGTTTGCCTTCGGGCCCTGAGCTTGGCTTGTCTCGTTATCTCCATGCTTGCAGCTACTGGATCAGTTGCAGGCATGATTTTTGAGATGAAGGCAGCTTACAGACCCTTCCATACAAACTACTGAGATCACATCTCTTTCCCTCTCTACATCTTTCTCTTTCTCTCTCTAAACCCCACCTCTTTCTCCTGTCCCCATCTCTCTCTTTTCCCTTTTCTCTCTCTTTTTCAATTGAATAACATGTAATATTGTAATTGTTATTATGTGGGCTTTGGAAGGGATTTTGTTTGTTGTAAATGAATGGAAAAACCAGTGGTGCTGGTGGGCTTACATGAAAATCCAAAATCTCAATATGCCAAAATGAAAGGCAAAGGCCCTGTTTGGAAGCATGTACAACTTTTTAGGATTTTCACATTCCCAGTGAAATGGAAAAGGGGGTTAAAAAGTAAGGGAATCGAATTCTCTACTCTTTTATCTTAATGCCTACTTCTCAGTGACTTAGTGGATGTAGTCGCATATTTTATCGATGTGGTTCTTTTTGTACGTAAAAATATTCACCAAAGAATAAAAGTAACCGGAGTGACGACATTCCAAACAAAATTTAGAGAGAGAAAGGACATGGAACAAATTTAATTAATTTAGAGAGAGAATGGACATGGAACTTGGAAGGTGGTGCAAGTTGTTTCGTGGTTGCTGTTGGGAGGTGGTGCTATTAGCCTGCCGCAGTTTGCCAAGACGCCGCGAACCGACCGCCTAACTTTGTCCTGTGCGCCACTCAAACCATTGGACCTACCTCTCTGTTACGGGTCGGGTGGCAACGACCTGGGTAAAGAAATAAAAAAAACCTTAGCCATGCTCTTGGGCTGCAGTTTGTGACGATCGGGCCGGGCTTGTTGAGGTGGCAATGGACTTGGACCTGACCTTGGAGCCGAGGGGTACACCGTATCCGCGTCCAGGTATGAGTCTGAAAATTGGACCCCACAGGTCAGGTGTCCAAATTTTGGACCCCAAACCTTGTTTGGGTTCAGGTCCCATCGGGTCAGGATCTGGCAATACTTTTTGGGTCCTAAAATATTTTATATATTTCAATATATCTAAATGCATAGATGTTTTAATTTTTGAGTTGGGTCCAATCGGGTCCAGATCCAACTGAACTTGACCCCAAACATTATTTGGGTTCAGGTCCCATCGGGACAGGATCAGGCAATACTTGTTGGGTCCTAAAATATTTTATATATTTCAATATATCTAAATACATAGATATTTTAATTTTTGAGTTGGGTCCAATCGGATCTAGATCCAACCGAACTTGAACCCTACCCGACCCGTTGCGACCCCTACAGGCTATGCTCCTCGGCTCATTACCAGCCCTACTTTATCTACCATGCGGATTTAAGCTAACAAATGCACGTCTTTCTCTATCTTAAATACGCCTGATTCTTTGTTGTATACGCTTATTTCTCACAAATGCACGTCTTCCTCTATCTTATATACGCTTGTTGTATAGGCTTATTTCTCGCCCTGCTTTTGGTAACTGTCCCATCTCTGTTTTCTCTATGACAGTGAAATTTTGGATTATTTCTTGACTTTTATTTCTCTCTTTGGGCAATAGCCATGTTAGTCTTCTGTCTATAGTATCTATGATTGTGTTTTATGAGGATGAATATTGACCCATTTTGAAGGATTTTTTTTTTTTTCAATGCTGAATTGGGATACTTAATAATGGGTGTGGTTTGTATAGAGCCTAGGCTCTAAACAATCAAATTAGAGCTTACCATCAGATAGCCTAGAGAAATGTGGTTTCAATACTGGAAATATTTGTGATAGCATTAAAATATATTTTCATCTTTATTTATAAAATTTAAAATCGTAGATAGACAGATTTATGAAAACTTAAAAATCTTGAAAATTAACGGTCAAAAATGCTATTTTTCTCCTATTCATGCATCTTGATGATCAATTTAGGGATATTTGAGCATTAAAACAACCTCTGCTATTGAAAGTTTTGAGGCAGGCTCTTATTCACATAAACTAAAATATTAAATTTGAAAAAGCTATACGAATATTTGTATACTTAAATTTTCCTCCATCAATTTCAAGTTGGACCAGTTCTGATTCAACCTATTGACCCATGAGATACATAAAACATCCGAGAGAGGCATCCAATGATAAGCAAAACAAATTAGACATAAAAAGAGAGGCTCCAAAGGTGAGGATGGTAGGTTGTACATGATGATCCTAGGGAATCCTCTTGACCACTTTCCTTTATAGTTAATTTATCAACCATGTGAATCCATAACCTTCCAAATTCCCCTCTACCACTAATTTATAGGCATTCTTCTTACCAGTTCTCCAAATTTTTTAGTAGAACACATTTAAAAGAATTCTTTTGAAAGAAAAATAATAGAAAACTAGATATGAGAAACATTTTTAAATTCTTTAGCTTGACATAGTTATTCTTTTCATATTTTTTTATTCACATTATTAGATCTTATAAATATACCTCATGAGACAGATTTTCAGACACCTATACCTAAAGAGCACATGGATAACCACAAAACTCGTGTCCAACATTGACAAGTCCTGGACACTTAGGACACATGATGGACTCTTCTACGTATATTCAACAGGCCAAAAGCCAAAATATATTTACTCCTGCTTATTTACTCCCTCAAGTAAAACCTCATCGAGAATTAATTTTAGGACCCCAAAATTTAGGGACGTAACCTCTCCAACAAATAGATTAACCTCAATTAAAAGGTCCCTAATTGTATTCTCTATGCACTTGTAAAAACAACCAACGACTCAAAGTCACTTATTTTTAGCTGGTGAGAACTAAGTATTAAAAAAGTCAAATTTCAATGTTTTTTAGAATAATCATTAAGGAGAAAATTTTATATAGAGCCGAGGCTCTAAACAATAACATTCTAGCGTACCAAACCAATCGAGCTTGCTAGTCCAAGACCACCGACCCGTTCAGAACCTGGTTCCAAATTTAGATATCCGGAGTGGAGGTCCCTCTCAGAGTCACTTACTTTCGTGATAGCTTGTTCACCTATTCATCTCTTTTTCATCGTCCTATCATCCTTTAGGCTTAGTATGAAGTCGACCCAAATGATCCCTATACCACACCTACATGAATTGACAAGTTACATCTATTATTGTGCGGGCTCCACCTTAGAGAGAGGGACCAAATGGAAACTCCAAGTAAAACTTATCTGGGAAAGGGGCTGGGGTCGTGCTAGTTGTACTTTACATATTTGTCACCATGTTGTGGTTTTTATTCTCACCACTAATACTACCCCACTAATACCTTTATAAAACTAATTTTTAATCTACTTGAAAAAATGGTAGAGGCATGTCATCGCCACTGGATTACCCAAAAAACAAAATTGTAAATCCTATCTTGGAAGCTAAAAAACAAAATTCCCATAAAACGTCAAAACAAGTATAGGTGAAGGCGCCATAAATTTCAAAAAGAAAGTGAAATAAATGAGCACAGACAAAGTTATTTGAAATGAAAACATTGATTGGTTGCCAATAATAGGAATGAAAATAAAAAAATATCAAACATACTACTGTTAACGGAGGGAGGCGATGTTCGTTTTGGTTTCAATTATTAGGGGTTATTTGAGGACATCCTTATCCTATCCTCTATTTTTGCACCATAGGCTATGCCATGTAAAGGCACAGCCGCATGGGTCGAATCAGCCCCACCCACCATAGGCATCTAATTCTCTTTCATTAGAAAAAGGGTGGTTGATATGGCCTTGGCCTCTAATGGATGTCTTTAGGCCTTCAAATCTGAGGGTACCCAATGTGGTTTGGGACTCCTGATACCTTTGTCCCAACTTTAACTTTACTTTTTATCATATTAGGTGCTCATCATGTCATACATCAAACATCAAATCTGGACAATATTAAATTTTATAATTTTTATTTTGGAATGTTGACTTGAGAATCTTTAATTGGCTTACATAATTGATATACATGTGTGTAGTGGTATACAAAAGGATAAGTATAGAAAGAGACCATTTATTTTATCATTAATATCCGTCAGATTTGAAAATAGGTGGTTATGAATATGTCATTTCTTAGGCTCAAAATTAAAAAAAAAAATTCGAATTTTGTGACACACCTTAACTTATTCAATTTGATATCTAATAGTAATCGATAATTGTGACCTCCTTGTAACAAAGATAAATAGTCTCATAACATACACTCCCTATATAAGCTTATCATTAGTATATGCACGAAAACAAATCAAAACTTTTTTGGCTACTAAAGAAGTTCTTACTACGCCTTCCATGGCCAAGAAATCAGCTTCTTTGTCATCTCTATAGTTCTTGAAGGGACTTCCATGTTTCTAGACTTCTAGTGCTTTCCCCAGTTTTGTAAAAAATTAAGGTTAGACTGCTTGATTTCTAGTGAATCATGTTCATTGAGTCCCCTGTACTCACCATTTTTTGAGTCCCGATAGTATCTTTCTTTTCATCTATATCAACATTTTTTTTTTGGTCATTATCTGCAAGCTACCGGTGATGGTTTGCTAAAGTGATTCAAAACCCACCAATCTAAATTGGGAATTGCTGATTTGGATCGTGAATCATTCTATGATGAATCAGTTCCCTACATGTATCAGTAATTGGTCTAACTTGGTGGTGGATTGTGTAGGGTTCATGTGGCCATTAAATGCCTTATGAGAGCATGTAATTAATATCTAATATAGTAGATCAATGAATTTCAGTGGGAGTATGGTCTTGAGGGACCAAGAGATTGTGGTCCCAAGGGACCAAGAGATTATGGTCTAGAGAAACTAAGATAGGCAAGTGCTATTTGCCGATACTTTGATTAGGCTTTACAAGCTAGGTTCATCGAGTTGGAAAACCCTTATTACCTGGGCAAGAAAATATAACCGATGAGGGTTCATGAGTTATCTCTTTATGAGATCGGAATTGCCAAGGGGAGTGAGCCAATAGACTATGTGACCCTTATGTGTGATGGTTGGTCTCTAGAGACGAGGGCCAAAGCCTGACAATCACGCGGTATATGCATATGATAGCCATATCAGAAAAACATGATATCATTGAGAGTGCAATGTGCACATATGTGAGATATTACCCATACACACCATCGAGTTGTGGTTGCATACGACCTTTGTGACCAATGGGTTCGTCTTTAGGTGAGCATCAATAATCCATATATTGAGATTATGTCCATTTGCCTATTGGCTAACTTTGGTAGCCCAATCATGAATCGCTGCAGTGGTCTTGGGTTATGAGAACTGCTGGGTCAGTTTGAAAAAGCAAGTGTGAATTATAGTCCACAGTAGAAGATGAAGTGTTTCATAATAAATTAAGTTCCTAAACCTAGAAAGATCATACTCCCATCAAAATTATTTGATTATATTTATTTTGATGATAATTGATTTTTAGAATGATTATTTGAATTTTT